GACCTTCTTCACCACCCTCTCCTTATTCTGCTCTCCCTACCTATTCCACCTTCCTCAGGTTCCGCTGATTTCCCTTTTTTCTATTCACTCTCTCTCTTTCTTAACATTTTTAATCACAATTGTCTATTTTTGCTCATTTTAAACATATTTTTAATAATTTTTAAAATTCTTTGTATATTTAAAATTTTTGTTTTTGTGAAGTGCCTCGTGATTTTTATCTTGAGAGGTGCTATAGAAAAGATCTCTTCTTCTTCTTCTTCTTAAACCACCAAATAGCTCCTGAGCACAGCCACTGCTTCCCATGGGGATGGGTTAAATGTGAGATGTAATTTCAACAGTGTGTGATGATGACTAATGGGACTTAAAAATTTTACTAAACTTCTTTTAATATTCAGATCATACTTTGTGTTTGCCAGATCTCTGGCTGCCATCTAGCATCTCATTCATTTCAGTTGTCTTTCCTGGTCACTGATCGTAAGTGAATAAGTCAGGGGTCTTTTTTTTTAATTAAATTTCACAATTGCTGAATCTTGCAACATATATTGTTTCCATTCCTGTATTTCATGCATCCAATTTAGAAAATCAATAAAAAAAATTTACAAACATAACATCTGTAAATCACAAAAAATAACAAAAATAAATAAATCAAAAAATGTTAAACCAAAGCGCGGTACAGCAACAAAACAAGACACAAACGACAATAATCAGATAAAAATCCAACAGGGGTAAAAGGAGGAAAATAGGTAATAATAGAAACAGAAAGTGAAACAGAAACAAAGTGTGTTTGTTGTGCCATAAATTCAACACTTTTCCGACGCTGAGTAGGCCACTCAGATCCAGTTGTCTGCCTAAATTGAACAGGATGGATCAATTAACAAACTAAAGAAACTGAAAAATTTAAAGGATGGTGATGAACTCACGCTGTGTCAAAGGCCATTTGGAAGAGATTTTAAAAGATTAAAAAGCAGGAAGTGAAGTTGGCTCAAATGTCTCCAGAGCGGAACATGAGGAGGATGAAGACTGTTTGGAACTGAAGAGCTAACAGCTAGACTGAGCTTGACTTTAACCAAGGTGTCCTGCTGCCGTTATAAAAATGGCTCAAACTCCCCAACCTTTCACAGCAGGCCACAAGACATTATTTTAAACATGTTTACAACTCTACCAACAGGTTTTAAGAAACTCCTGCTAGACTTGATCCCTGAATGCATGGAAGTGCAATATTTAGGTGCTAATGTTGACATTTGTGCTTGTATGAAATAACCATACATTATACATTAAAATGACTGACCAGCTAAACTGATGGAGGTGTAAAAGTTCTGAAAGAAATGTTTGCATGAACAGCTTTGGACTTTTAGAATCATTTAAATGTGGCAGCAACTCACTTTGGTCTGGGTTTCTCTAGTTTATACATCCCCAAAGCTATTTCTCTGAACAAATGCCCTTCAGGAAGCTATCTACAACATGTATTAATAGGAATAAGAACTTTTTAGTTCTATGTGGGACCTAGATTAGATGTTATATTGGCTCCCATGGATTTTACCATTAAAGACATGTGGTGAATAATTATTTTACCCCTGAACAAAGTTCAGAGATCATTGAAAGACTAACTTTTTCCATCCAATTTGCCTCCATAACAAGTCATTATTAAGTTCTGCCTGGAAATGTTTTCGAAATCAATCAGTTTTCATTATTAAATATAAATTAAGTTAACCAGCAGATTGTGTCAAAACTTGACTTTTTGTCTTCAGTAAACTTCTCATTTTCTTCCACAAAAACCTGTGGTGACAAGCTGTTAAAATAAATAATAATTTGTCCATTAATCCAGATGTAAGGGTGAAGATTGCCTAATGTCCGCTGGATGATTAAACAGAAATGTATTCTCTGTTGTGCGCACTCACTTGGAGTGAAAAAAGGATGTGAGCAGAACTACCTCGTATCATCCCTGCGTTCCTCCACAGCATTATACACAATGTTTTTAGTCATTTTTTAATATTTAAAAAAAAATATTTTAATATTTTCTTTTTGCTCTTGAGAAGTGCCTTGTGATTTTTATTTTGAGAGGTGCTATATAAAAGATTGTTTTCTTTCATTCTTTCTCCCTTTCTTTCAAATTTGCTATTGCAGCTTTAACATGCAGACTGAACATGAAGATAGTCTCCTACACCTATCTCCTGCTTTAGCTTCTGCTAGAAAATCGACAATGGATCTCTAGGATATGAAAAGCCTGACAGATCTACATCACACTGTCACTTAACATTCATGGACTCACCCATGTTGACTCATGACAAGGAAGGCTGTTGTTTTAGCGTCCAGGAAACAGCAGAGAACATCTCAGCTAGTAGAAGCTAACTGTTGGTGTTAGCATTTCCACCACACAACAGAACTTTTCCAGGCTTGAGTTGTTTGTGGAGATAAAACCTCAACATTGCAGAGCTAACTGAGTCAGTGGTAGAGTTGTTGCTGTTAGCCAATCAGAGGAGAGATGTTGAAATATCAGGAAATTAGACTCATCCAAAGCTACTTTCACCTCCAACTGAATTGTACTTCCTGAAACAGGCACACCAAAGTACCCTCTTCCCTATAGGGAGCCTAAGTCATGCCCATCTACTTCCGCATCATGGATCCCCGGAAGAATGAAAAAATGAATGCGAGTCAATGGGGCTAAAAACACTATTTTCTCATTCTGTTTGTTACGTGGCATGGATTTCACATTTGACATTTGTAAATTTTAAAGACACATTTTGATGCCAAGAACGAGCTTTTTTTTTGAAAGGGGGCAAATGCTATTTTAGGTTTTGTGTAAAAATAAGTCCAGGACTACAAATGCGCTTCATCAAATTGACGTCATTGAATTAGACACGGAAGAAACTGAGGGAAAAGTGGCTCTAAGTTCAGTGAACTTCAAATCCTTCCTTCAGGAGGAAAGAACCACCATAAATCTGACCATGTGGTAAGTAGCAGCTACGCTAGAGGAGAGGAGATTATATGGGGATGTCATATATGCAACGTACAGACATCTGATTTGCAGTCATAGTGAATACAAGCTTCTACAAGCTGACAGTCGTGCTTGAAACACCCAACATTGCTTTTGCTTTCAATTGGAGTACAGCATCTTTGTGATTCAGGGCAAGAGGCCAAACTCTTATAGCCCCGTTGACTTGCATTCATTTTTTCATACTTCTGGGGACTCATGAGCCGACCGGAAAGGGAGGAAACTTGGGCTCCCTATTCATTCAATCCTACTATGACAAAAGCACCAAAATTTGCATGAGCATCAAATTAGTCCAACTATTAAGGCTTACAAATGGGCTAATAGGAAAAAAAGAAAAGTACACAAAAATGTGCTTAATAATAAAGCTAATCAGGAAGTTCGACCTTCAGGATGGAAGAAGAGAACAGCAGCTTCCAGTGTTAACTGCAGAAACCTTTAAGTCAGTTAAAGTCTTTCAGAGAATCAAGTGTCCTTTTGAATTCATTTTTATGTGTACATTTTTTTTTCACTAGAACAGTTCCAAATCCCGACAGAATCCCGTTCTGCTGAAGTGGACTGTTTATGCTGTGCGGATGCGGTCACTTCACTGGCTGTGCAGTGGGCGTCCGGCCAACCCAAAGCCCACAGAAACGGACCAGCTACAGACCTCCCTGTCCTGTCAGCTGATTCCGTTTCCCAGGGTCCTCTGATCCAAAAGGCCATCTGAGTCAATCTCTGCAAATACACAAGAAGGAGAAGCTGGAAAAATGTTTAGATTCCCGTCAAGCATCAGCAGCCATGAGCCACTCGGAGTTGTAGTAAATATGGTTTGAACTCTTAAACTAGTATTATAATCCCGCCAGAATCTGACTGCTTCAGCTATTATGTAATGACTTTAAATCCTAACTTTGAATTCAAACTCCAGGATTCATTTAAATCGACCTACAGCGTGCTACCAGTGTAGGAAAGCCTCTCATCATCTCCGAGAGTCGACGCTAATAGAGCTCTGATACCTCATGGTGCAAAAGAAATTTCCCGTTTTTTACTTTGAAGTTTGTCTGAGAGAACTCTGTTCCACCCGCCTCCAGGCTCGGAGTCGGAGTCCGAGCCGGAAGGAGCCACTAAAACAAAATGTTTGACAGTTTTAATAGACATGCAGGAGCAGTTCACTGCCCTTGTAAGAGTTTTTGATGTTTTGTATTTTATGCAGATTGAAGTTCAGCGTTTGTGTGTTTAAGGTTTGATATTCAGTGGCTTCGCTGTTGCTTTGCTTGTGTTGCACCATGGTGTCCGTGGTAGCTGTTCAGTGTGGTTGCATTTATTACAAATATTTATATGAAAAACACACCTAAAGACCCGTGCAGTTCATGCCAACCCCAACTGTGTAACGACTCGACGTTTTCCTTTCACTCACTGACCCCAAACCTGGTATTTTTAGTCTGTAGTTCCAAAATACCACCACATTTACTCCCACAAGCACCAGCCCCACATTTTTTCTTTATTAAAGACTTTTTCCCCTCTTTACCCCTTTCTGTCTGTTCTCTTACTGAAGAAGTGCTCTCATGCGGAGGCCCACTGTAGCAAGGGGCCTATTCATGAGGCCAAGAGACAGTGAAGAGCAACACAAAGAGCTCCCTACAGTGCGGAGAGGGCTGTGAGCTCAGCGCTGACCCCTGAAGGATGTGTGTGGGCTGCACCCAGACACGTTAGCCCCCACCCCCCACCCCACCTCCCTCTGAATGTGACCTTCTACCAAACTCCCCCAAACAACCTCAAACAGACGTGCGAACAGCAGCTTGTTGAGAGGAAGTGGAAAATGGTTTCTCCCATGTAAAATGTTAGCTCCTAAAAGACTTTTCTGGGTTTTTTCTCCCATGACCTTTTGTTATGTCTGAGTTAGAATTGTGACTATCCTGTTCCGAAATCTGTGAAATACCTCTAAATAGTATTCTGCCATTCCAAGAAATATGCAAAAGGAATTTTTATTTAGCTGTAAATTTAAGTTTCTCTTGTCTGTGTGGGCTTTCAGTGCTGGATCAAATCCTGATGGAGCTCCACCGCTTCCTGCTCATCCTGGACAAGGAGAACCTGAGCGGGAACGCCACCATCCAGAAGGGCCTGCTGTCGGATCTCCTCCAGTCCTACAAGTCATTAAGTGGTGAGAGGAACATTTTTGCTTAAATCCATTGTGTACTTTAGCAGGTTTAACGGTTCAAATCAAACAAGAAAAGGTTTACAATGAAAAGTTAGTTTGAATATGAAAGGAAACAAACAGGATTGACTTCTCAGTTTAAATTTATTCAAGAAATTATTCTGATAGATATTTTTTGGGAATTTTTCACTTATTTTTACCAACACACACAAAAAATGAAAGGTTGGACACTGATCATGAACCTTGAAAAACATCAGCATGAGAATCGTTTGAAGACAACAAGTTTAGTGAAATAGAAAGTTATTCTACTTGCTTGAGAATCCAGTTTGTTTAAATGTCAAAGATTCAGACGACTGGGTTGAGTTGACCAGATGCTTTTACAAAAATTGCTAATAAGTGACGTAAACTGAACGCATTTTTGTAAACATCTGCAGACTATTTTAATCTAACTAATCTAACAGACCTTCCTCCAGGTAAACACACAAATACAGTCTGTTGTAACTTTGTTATGGTAGTTTAGTTCAGTCTATCTCCAGCAGTCAACGGGCAAGTAGGCGGGGTACACCCTGGTGTTATTCTTCATTTAACAAACACAACCACGTGATGTGCTATATAGCCTGATGTTGTATTGAGATTAAGCTCTGGAAAGACCTGGATTAGAGGACCAGAGTTCAAATGTGTAAAAACATACAAAACTAACTTTAGATGCAATTTAAAGCCAAGACAAAAGGTCATTTCATACCAAAAACAAGCTCTCTGCGGGCATACATACCTGAAGGTGTGTATGCCCGCAGAGAAGCTAAGTGCCCAGTTGTATTTGTGCTCTTAAAGAGATCAGATGATTGAGCTTTATTCATACCTATCCTGCTGTTTGTGAGGTATTTTTCTACAAACACTCGTCAGGAAGCACAGGAGAAAACACGACCACCACTTCAGTTTTGTTGGTAGGTGATAAAAGTTGTTTGAAAAGGAAGCTTTGGGGCTTCGATAACGTAGAAAAAGCTGCCTTTTCTGATTCTTTGCAGCATTTTCCATTGGTTAAAGCATTCAAAGCTTTGTTAGCCTTCACATCATCCAGCCCACACTGGTGGCTCAAAATAAAACGTATAAGAAACCCTTAAAGGTTCATTAAAGTCATTTCAAAGCTAAAATGCAAACACAAAGTTCCCTCTGAACAGCTTCTGGTTTTGTTTCTGCACCAAACAGGAGTTCCACTCTTTGACCTAAAAGGCAGCCTGCTGTGCTTTCATTTCCTCGTTCTAACCCCTCAGTGACCACCATGTTGTAAATCTGCTGCTGAATGCTTCTTATTATTACAGTTTAGGACCCTTTAACACAATTTTGTGGCAATAAACACTTTCTGGTGGCAGAGTTCTCCTTGTTTTAAATCATAACTGCTTCTGCTCATAAACAGGCCCTGCAGACGACCCCTCACCTCGTTCTGAGGTGCTGCGTGGCGCGCTGATGCTTCCTGTCAGACGGTGACAGACGGGCTGAGTTGTCTGCTGGCTCTGAGACTTTCCATGAAAGTGTTGCAGCTGCTGGTGGGCTGATGTGCTTCATGTCTCCTAGAAGTTTGGTTAGTTTTAGTGTGAACCTCAGCCTGCAGGTGTGTGTTTAGTTGAAGGTATTGAATTATTAGCTGAATTGTTTTTTGGGTTGGTTGAAAAAAATAGTCTTTCCCAGAGAACCATCCTCTAAGCAGTCCCAATTTTCCATGTTCAGGTCCTGGACTCGTCTCTCTGTACTTCCTCTCGTGGCTCCAAGCTGTATCATTTTTCCAAAGCTGCATTTATCCTCCAGGGATGCTCACTTCCTTTGCAAAGTAGTTTATAAATAGCCTTTTAACCGCCGGTCCCTGAAAATCTGTTTTCACTGTACAGGCTAAACATTGTTTTTGTTTAGCTGCTGTTAGCTTTCTCCTCGCCGGATCGGTTTCAAAGGAGACGGCTTCTCCAGAGGTTGGAGTTTGGTTTGATTTCCTCTCAGGGTACGATCTTAGTCAGCTGAAATGTTTAATTCAATGAAGCAGCGCTCCTCCGAACTGTGCTACAGCTTCAGGACAAATTCACATAACAGGTTACAGTTACCAGCAGCCTTGGGTGTATGTGGCAGGGGAAAGGGGGGAAACTGATTTGCTGCTTTGAATAACAGAAAAACATTTGTGCATATTCGGATCATTATTCTCGGCTCGTTATTAGAAACAAAGATATACTAGAAAAACCAAAATATGGAGTTCTGCCATTCAGGTCAATTCATGTTTAAAAAAAATCACATTATTGGAAATTCAGCACTATCTTTGCCTGGAGAATGAAGCTGTTGCGCATTCAAGTTTGGTGTTGCGATGGAAGGATAGAAGCAAGTTTTGTGGCAGGAGCATCTTGTCTCTGTTTTCTGCTGTTTTAGCTTCATCAAACATCCGTTAACGGGGAAGTTTGCTCTAGAATGGGAAGCAGCTGCGACGAGGAACACCGTGTTTCTCAACCAGAAATGGGAAAATCACCGACTCCAGGTTGGTGAGGAGGTTCCTCGTCAAGTGGAGGAATTTCAGGGTCTTGTTCAAGAGTGAGGGACAGGTGGACTGAGCCAAGGTTGGCAGTAGTGGGAAGACTAAAACTGTTTGTTGTGAAGAAATGGGAGCTAAGCTGGGAGGAATTTGTTCAAACCCTTATCTAGACTAAATAAACAAGATTGTGAAGACTGCTGCAATGAATTTCCTTTGCAGGGCAGCCAGGTTCAGTCTTAAGCCTAATTTATACCTCCATCAGCTCCACAAGGGAGAGACGCGCGCGTGGACGGAGACGTTTTGCTTTCGGACTTCTTCGTCTCCTGGGGAGTGTTGCAAAGCAATTCCCCGCCAGGACAACAGAGGGCTAGCGCTGTTCTGTGGTGCCCTGTCCAAGATAGTGCATTTGCTATTGTGTTCATATTGTGTTTTGTGTATTTAAGAGACTTTTTAACACAGACAAATTTGTCCCTCATCCTCTTCCACCTCTTCATGCGGTCGCCACCTCTAAACCCGTCATTTCCGTCCGTGAATAAAACGCTCGCTGCGCATCTTTTCACTCCTCCAGTCACGGGGGAATAAAACGTTCATATTTTTAGAGTTTTTCAGCGAGGGATTCTTCAAGCTTCTCCAGGTCTGCCTCTAGATATCCTCGGCTCTCATGTTTTTGAGGGCACAATGGCAGCGCTGTTGATGACAGTGGCGTCCTGACCAGTCACGTGCTTGAGTTCTCCTTGTCAGACGTGCGTTTAGAAAAGGGAGCTTGACTCCATCTGTTTTTGCGAGGGCTCTCTAGCTGGCTAGCAAAGACGGATAATGGTGTTGCATGTCTCCGTCCCGACGCAGAAGGAAAAGTATAAATTAGGCTTTAGAGAGAGGGAGGAGCTCAGACATCCTGAAGACATTTGGAGTAGAGCTGCTGCTCCTCTGCATCAATAGGAGCCAGTTGAGGTGGGTTGGTCATGATGCCTCACAGAAGGAGGTGGTGAACCTCAGAACCAACCCGGGACATTTTAGAGAGATTCTTTCTTTAAAATGGGAATGCTTTGATCTCTCGCTGAAGGAGCTGGCAGAAGTAGCAGAGAGACGACGGACCGGGCTTCGTTGTAGTAGGAGGAGTAATAAAACTCAACCCATTTTTTTCTGTGGTCCTAACTCCTTCTGAACTTTCGTCCATGTTATCCAAACCCGTATGTGTTGCCTTGGTGAATGTTGGATCACTTCACATTTTATGCTGATGGAGATAATGCAACCATAAAAAACATCTTTGTGTTGAATCTCATATGAAGTCTGCTTCAGAAAGCAGTCCTTTCTGCTGTTTGGACCAAAACTCAGCCAAACCTCACATTTTATGTTCATGTTTAAACCCTAAGCCTCCTCTAAAGTGATTTTACACTCTAAAACAAAAACCGTGACCTTTCATTTTTTTTATTTCACATTTCTTTTTTGGTGTAGATTTGCATAAAGTAAACAAATACATAAACCATGATCATATGTGACATAGTTTTTGTTTTTTAGTCACGTATTTACAGAGAGACTCAGATGAAAAGCTGCATTCCACCTCCAGCTGATGATCTACAGACATCAAAGATACAGTAGGAGTGGCACAGAGCTTTATCTGTGCAGCCGAGGAGGGCTCTGACTAATGTTTGATGAATGCTCGCCGCAGTGAGGGTGGGTGTCAAACTGATCCCATCTGTCGACACAAAAGCCTGATTGTTTGGGTGAAGCTCCTGTAATCCTGGACACCCTTAATGTGTGTTTAGCACCAAGGTGACATCAGTGTTTTCCCATGGGCACATGGGATCCACAGGATGAAAGAAAGTCAAATCCTCACATTGTCTGGACACTCCTCCATCTTTGAGTTGGAGCCAGATAGCATCAAGGCTCAGCTCAGATGGAATTTGGCTGCATAAACTTAAAAAAAATATATGGCATTTTCTTGTTCTGCATCTTTATATTTTTTTATTGTACCAATATTTTATTACTAAGAATGAGAGCAACTAAATCCTAAAGTGCTCTGGGTAAAGGAGGTTGAAGTGGAAGGATGAAGGCTGGTAAGATCTTAGGGGTCAAAGACTGATGGGTCAAGAAGCAAAGCAGATTAGAGGTGTAACGGTGGGTTGGAGAATGGAGGCAGACAGGAGAAATGTCCACTTATCAGAACGTGTAAAAACACATACAAAGAATGTGTAGTCATACCAATGATGTAATGATGGTATGTGTGGATAGGATCTCACTGATGAATGAGTCAAAAAGGATGAAATACCAGGAAGAGTTTTTAAAAGCATTTTGATGTCAGATCCCAGGACTGTTTTCCACTTTTAAAGGTTCCATATATGCTACATGTAACATGTATATGAACATGTCTTACTGTTGGTAATATTGACATGTTGTTTTTAGGGATGCACCGATCAGGTTTTTTGCTGCCGATCACCGATACCGATATCAAAGAATGCTGATCACCGATACCGATCACCGATACCGATCACGTGGATTG